GTCCAGGTACAGATTCCTCAGAAGTACAATTAAGTGTTCTGGAATACTCATACTTCGCAATGTTGGCCACAGCTTGTCATGATCCACACAATCAAAAACCTTTACATAGTCAATAAAGCATAGGTAAACATCTTTCTGATATTCTCTGCTTTCAGCCAAGATCCATAGGACATCAGTAATGATAGCGCTTGTTCCACGGCCTTTTCTGAATCCAGCTTGAACCTCTGGAAGTTCTCTGTCAATGTATGCTTACAGCCATTTCCGTATTACCTTTAGCAAAACTTTACTCGCTTGAGATATCAAAGCGATTGTCCAATGTTTTCCGCAATCCGTTGAGTCACCTCTCTCTGGAATGGGCACAAATATGGATCTCTTCCAATCAGTTGGCCAGATAGTTGTCTTCCAAATTTCTTGGCTGAGATGAGTGAGTGCCTCCTGTGCCGCCTCACTTTCTTGAAAGATTTCAATTTTAATTCCATCAATTCCTGGTTCCTTGTTCTTTGCCAATTCCTTCAATGCACCTTGCACTTCCTCCTTGAGTATCATTGGCTCTTGTTCATGGTAGCATAGTAGGTTACTAACTGGCTGCTAATTTCCAAGGGTAGTAGTTTAATCTACCAGCTGCTTCGCAGGAGAAAGATGAGGCTTTCTGCTCCCACAAAGACTGATAGCCTTGGAAATCCTGGCCAGGGTTGCTAGGAGTCGGGACTGACTCCTCCACACCTACCACCACCACCACCGCCACGGTGTGAAGGAGGCCGGAGGAGATGTGGGTATGCTAATGAAGCTGGATGCTGTATCTTGAATCAATCTCTGAGAAAGATTCAAAAAGTGAGCAGAGCTCAGAGTGACCTCTTCCCACGAAGGAGGAAGAGATGGAAACGAAGTCATCTGGTCCAAGACTCAGAGGTAGACTCTGACAAGGACCTACCCCCAGAGCGAGACAGCCTTCCCTAAGTGTCTAGGACACCAAGGGAACACAAAGTGAACATCCAGGGCTGGCAGCAGCCACCGAAGGTGGGACAAGCCACATGTGCTGGGAAGGGATGGTGGGGACACTCACCTTGGCCTGCAGTCTTCCTCCCAGGGTGGACCTCGCGTGATAAATCACGATGAGCACATCTCCTTGCACTGTTATGCCCAGAGGAATAACTGCTCGGCCATCTTCAATCTTAAAATCCCTAAACAGAATGATGAGGAATTATTGGCCCAAATCAAAGAGGTAAAGCGATGAAGAGTGGTCTGCAATGGCTGATGAGTCCCAGCGAGAACGCCGAGAACTCTGAAGTTGCCAACGCTAACAGTTGTGTGTGTGTGTCTCTTGCTGACTTTGGTACTAATGAAAATACTTCCTGGGGAGGTGACTCCAGGAACTGACTTCAAAGAAGACACTCCCCCAATAGACAACGGTCATAGTACCTTACCCAAACATGGTAATACCTCTGGACCTGCGAAGACTGCTCATGTGCTAAAGGCCAAGGCTCTCGAGCACCCATCAAAGCATTGCTGTTCCAAAGCTATTTCACCCCAACACAGTGACATGTTCACTATAAAGACTTTCCTGCAGAATGAACCTATGTAGACTTAATTCCACAGAGCAAGAACTGGCCCGTGTCTGAACTCACTTCATCTTGTCATACTCCTGGGACGTGGTGGTCACACGCTCATCTCCAACGTAGACCTCACAGAAGGGCCGACAGCCATTCCTCTGCTTGCTGAACAGGGGTACGGGGGTCATGACGATGGCTTTCACCAGGATGGGCTTGCAGTGGGGCGTGATGGGCTCCTCTGCAACCATGTCACACATGTACTCTATGTACCTGGAAGCAGGTTCAGGGCACCATGTCACATGTGTGCATGGTCAGGACAGTACGCCACACATGCATTCAGTACACATCACACGTGTGCACGCTCAGGAAAGCATGCCACACGTGTGCATTCAGTATACATCAAACGTTTGCACATTCAGTATACGTCACATATGCGCATGTCCAGCACACCACGCCACACGCGTACACTCAGCACATGCCACATATGTGCTTATTCAATATACCATACCATATGTATGCATTCAGTACATGTCAGAGTGCATATCACATGTTCATGTTCAGTATAGCACACCACATGTGTGCATCCAATACACATCACATGCATGTGCATTCATTACATGTCACACATGTGCATTCTGTATATGTCACATGTGTGCACATTCAGTACAGCATGCTAAACGCGTTGCATTCAGTAACCATGCCACACATGTGCACATTCAGTATAGCATGTCACACGTGTGTGCATTCAGTACACCACATCACACGTGGGTACATTCACTACACCACATCACACGCATGCTGGATGTATAAGTATCTAGCAGACCCTGGAGTACACCATGTCATACATGTATGGCATGTACCTGGAAGGCCATTTGACACCATCACATGTGCATTCTATGTACTAAAGGCCAGTCTTACACCACGTCCCAGAACCACTGTATGTATCTGGCAAACCATTCAATGCCTCACACGTGTACTCTCTGTACCTGGAAGGCCACTGGACACACTAGTCACCGGTGTACCCCGAAGACCAATTGCATCTATGTCACACACACTCCTGGACATTCCATTCACTCTACCATGTGCACAACTCAACATCACGCATATATGAGAAAAAGTATGTGCCGAAAGTGAACTCAACAATTCTGTAATTTACATAAGCTTTCCTTTAAAAAAATCCTACTTCACACTCTGAAAGCAGGGTCAAATTCGACTATACACATAAATACACTTTAGAGACTGCAAATGTAAATAGTCCTTATTTTGAACCCAGTCGTATAAAAATCGAGATAAGCCTTCATCAATACTCCGAGTTTCAGGGGACCACGGTAGTCAGAATGCCAGTGTCTTAGCATCCTCCAAGCATTAAGGGGTCCTCCCAGCTGAGCTTGATGTATGTCCATCATCCTCTGAAGAAAGGGGCCAGAGGTAAGTACAGATCCATGTTCTATGTGTGTGGGGTCTGAGGAGAGCTGGGTGAGTGGATTCCTGACACAGGGGCAGATGTCGTCTGGAGACAGTGTAACCACAAACATAAACTAGCAGCTGAACACACTGTTGTTGCTAGGAGCTGACGAGTCAGTTCTGGCTCACAACAACACTACGTACAACAGAACAAAACTACTGTCTGAAGCGTCCTCACAGCGACCCCACCGCTGCAGCCCTATCGGCCGTCTCGCTGAGGCCCTTGCTCTTTTTTGCTGGCCCTCTCCTTCCCCAAGATGATGCCTCTACTTTGAGGAGGCAGCTCTTCCCTAGTGGGGAAGACAACGGTTCTCTGCTGCTCGTAAGGGCTTCAGGGGCCGATTTGTTCCGAAGCGGATCTTCAGGTCCTCCACTAGTCTGTGGGTGCGCTGTGGATTTGCTGAGACCTGCCCACCGTGGAGAGCACAGCTTCCATATCACCACCACAGGCATAATGGCTTATCTCCCGGCTGGACTCAGCCAGGTGCCGTCCACGTGCTGGCTGCCCCTGTTCTTGCTGGAGCTCAGGGCCCACACCCAAGCTCTGGAGGCTGTATGCAGAATTCACTTTCCTGAAGCCAGGACACCGAGGGAGGAAGCCCCCTTCCAGGCATCTGCAGGCATCTTCAGGGACGGCAAGAGACCTCTCTGTCTCTGATTTTTGAGAGGCTCAGGCAGTCCCTTACCTCCACCTGTGAGACCCTTTCACCTTTACCACCGAGTGTAAATTACAGAGCAGGCATGCCACCACCTTCGTGAGAACCGATGTTCTGGAAGCAAGTCAGGAGTCCACCCACACTCATGCGGATCACATTATACCAGAGTGTGGTCGCAAGAAGCCATGGGAGCATTGCTCCGACCACGACCAGGGGCTTCCAGCATGAATGGGGGCCAGCTGGGGAAAGGCAGCACCCTGGACAGGAAGATGAAGAACCCCAATGTGTGCCTGAAACCGTGAGTCCCTCCAACACTGTCCTTCTTCAAAGTGGTTCTGGCAGCGGCAGCTTCTCTGCATGTCCCTGTGTGGTTCAGACTCAGCTGGCTGACACCAACCTGCTGAGAGGTAAACTAGAGGTACACCGAAGCTACACAGCAAATTGGGAAAAGGGACTAACGTTTTCACAATAAAGAATCTTCCAGTCAATGGACGCGGTGGTCAATATCGCCACTCACCCTGGTCTCCTCTCTTTCCTGTTGGGTGGTTTTCAGCACACAGATCTTATGTGTATTTTGCTTGATTTTAAACCTAAGTATTTCATTGAAAAGAAAAAAAAAGCCAGAAAAGAAAGAAACAACCACTGTTGTTGCCACTCAAGTCGGTTCCGACTCATAGTGACCTTATAGATATTTTTCCAAGGAGCAGCCGGTAAGTTTGAACCGCTGACCTTGTGGTTCAAGCCGACCTTGTGGTCCAGTACTTTATCCCACAGTGCCATCCCAGGAGACCATTTTTATTCTGTGCCATTGAGTTGGTTCTAACTCATAGCGACCCGGTATAGGGTTTCCAAGGAATGACTAGTGGGTTTGAACCACCAACCTGGCATTTCAAATGCACCCCGCAGTCCAGCACGTTATCCTGCAGCGCCACACTGGATTCCAAAAGCAATTCTGAAACTTGTTCTCTAATATAGAGGTGCTAAAGCAAATGGAAGAGATGAAGTAAAAGAGCTGAACAGAAAATCTCAAGGGCAGCTAAGAAGACAGAGTCAAATATTAAAATGAAATGGGCAAAGACTTGGAGTCTAGAAAATCAAAAGGGAAGAAAACACTCAGCACTTTTCAAGCTGAAAGAATTGGGGAAAAAAACAACTCAAGCCTCGACTCGCAATTCTGAAGAATTCCATTAGCAAAATATTGAATGATGCAGAAAGCATCACAATAGGATGGAAGGTATGTACACAGTCACTATACCAAAACCATTTCAAGAGGCAGCATGTGATCAAGTCCAAGCTGCACTGAAGGCATTAGGGAAAATCAAGGCTCCAGGAACTGATGGAATACAAATTGAAATGTTTCAACAGACCGATGCAGCACTGGAGGCACTCACTCATCTAAGCCAAGAAATTTGGAAAACAGCTACCTGGCCAACCGACGGGAAGGGACCCATAGGTGAACCCATTCCAAAGAGAGGTGACCCAACCAAATGCAACAACCATCAAACAATATCATTAATATCACATGCAAGTAAAATTTTGCTAAATATAATTCAAAAACAGTTACAACAGTATATGGACAGGAAATTGTCAAGAGATTCAAGTTGGATTCAGAAGAGGACATGGAATGAGGGATATCACTGCAGACATCAGAGGGATCTGGGCTAAAAGCAGAGGATACAAGAAAGATGTTTCCATGTACTTTACTGATGATGCAAAAGCTTTCCACTGTATGGCTCACGACACATTAAAGGAAGTCGTTCGAATAGAACAACAAGGGGATACTGAATGGTTAAAATTAGAAAAGGTGTAGGTCAAGGTTATATCCTATCACTGTATTTATTTTATTGTTTTTTTAAACTATGGTGAATTAAGCAAAGGTGTACAGGCAAAATCATCAGATTTACATTGAACCAATCATATTTGGTCCCATTTCAATGACTGCAATCTCCTGGAGCACTAACAGTTCTCCTGCTTCCTCCCTGGGTTCCTAGTTCCATCCCACCCTCTTTCCCATCCCTTCTCAACCTTGTCCTTAGGTAAATGGGGCTCTTTTCATTCTGAAGGTTGACCGTTCCACGGCGAGCATACCTTACTAGTGTTGTTGTCTTCCCCATATACCTATCTTAGGTTGAAAATCGCGTCACAAAGGTGAGAGCCTCTCCAGACCTGAAGGGTGGTTGAGGGCCACAGTTTCGGGTTTTTCCAGTCTGTTCCTGATAAGTAAGCCCAGCCCTTTTTTTTTTTATTAATAATTCTCAGTTTTGTTCCATGTTTTCTTCTACTTTATGTGATCCCTTTCAGAGCAGTTGTTCATGGAAGTCAGGTCTGCTCTCAGAGTCACGGAGACCGATGTTCACAGGTTCCGTTTGTCCACTGGACTAACTGATTCCAAACATCTTCCGTTCCCATCACTTTTCTTTCTTGTGCACGTGGAGAGACCAACAGTTAGAAAACCTTAGGTGGTCTGCTTGTGAGCTTTTAAGATCCCAGCCACTCCTCACCGAAGAAGGACGTAGAATACTGTCTTTGTGACTTTGTTATGCCAACTGACCATCACCATACTCATTTAATCTGTGTGCTGAGAAGCTGGATTATATGAAGGAGAAAGTGGCATCACTAGTGAAGAGAGACTCATTAATAATCTGCAATATGCAGATGATTCAACTTTTCTTGCTGGAAGTGAAGAGGACTTAAAATACATACTGATGAAGATCTAAAACAACAGCCTTCAGTATGGACTGCACCTCAAGGTAAGGAAAGTAAAAATCCTCACCACTGGACCAATTAATAACATCAAGGTAAATGGAGAAAAGCTTGAAGTTGTCAAAGACTTCATTTTGCTTGGATCCATCGTCAACACTCAGAGAAGCAGCAGTCGAGAAATCAAACGACATATTTATTGCATTAAGCAAATCTGCTGCACAAGACCTTTTTAAAGTGTTGAAGAGCAAAGATGTCAGTTGAAGGACTAAGGTGCACCTGACCCAAGCCATGGTACTTTCAATAACCCCGTATGCATGTGAGAGTTGGATAGTGAATGAGGAAGACTGGTGAAGAATCGAAGCATTTGAGATACGGCGTTGATGAATACTGAAAGTACCTTGGGACTGCCAGAAGAATAAACACAATGCTCCATGGAGGCCAGCATGGCGAGACTGTGCCTCTCAGACTTCACACATGTTATCAAGAGGGATCGGTCTCTGAAGAAGGACATCATGCTTGGTAAAGGAGGGTCAGCGAAAAAGAGCGAGACCCCCAATGAGATGACTGACACCAGGGCAGCAGCAATGAGCTCAACTTAACAATAACAGTGAAGATGGCATAAGCGCAGGCCGTGTTTCATTCTCTTGTGCACAGGGCCGCTGTAAGTAGGAACCTACTCAACAGCACCTAACAACAACATTATAAAGGAGGCCTGGGGGCTTTGTAGGTTACATGTTGGGACTGCCACCAAGCATTCTGAGGATGAGAGATGAGGTTGTGTGCTTAAGTCAAGATTTTGTGTCAGGAACACGATAGGGCCACTAGGAGTCAACCCAGGGGCAGTGGGTTTTATCATAAATGGAGGAAAAGCCTTGGTGGTGTAGAAGTTAAGTGCTCAGATGCTAACTGAAAGGTCGGGGGTTCGAAGCCAGCAGTCCCTCCCCAGTCTACTTCTCTAAAGGTCACAGCCTTGAAAACCCTACAGGGCACTTCTATTCTGTCCAAGAGGGTCACCATGCATCAAAATCGACTGCACGGAAATCAGGGTTTAGTATTGTAAATGGAATTGAGAGAGAAACACAATTTGCTCTTGTATATGGATATTAGATCTTGGGAAAAGCATTTTGGTATTTGCTTTGCGACTTGTCCGCACCTCTTTCAGGTCTGGAAGACAGTGGATGGAATTATGCATGATTTCTTCCTGACACGTAGAGCAGAATTCCCCAGTGAAACAATCGGGATCTGGAGTTTTCGGTTTTTTGGGGCAAGGTTCTAAACCACAAGCTCCACTTTTAAACCGGTACAGACTAGGCAGACTCTGTATCTCTAGCACTTTGTGTTTTCCGAGCAGTGAGTCCGAGGCATTCACAGCCTTAGTGCCCTTTTGTCTGTGGCATCTCAGTCCCACTTCCTGTCTCATCCCTGATGCTGGTTGTTTGGGGCATTCTTCCTTTCCTCTGCTGAGATCACAGATCCCCACAGGAGGTGGGTGGTGTAGAGGGGCGGCCTGCACACTGCACTGGTTTCAGCCTGCCAGGGACTCTGCTCTGATCACGCTCTCTCGCACGAGAACCAAGTGCACTGAGATGGGTTTGTGCAGACAAGCGACCCCTCTGATGTGCACCTCCGACAGGTCACCCTCACTGCTGGGGGCTGGACTGAGCAGGACAGACATGAGGAGCCCAAGCACTTGGTGAATGGAGTGGCCCTATGCGCCATGGCGTCCTGAGAAATCACTGGGTCTCGAATGCTGACTAAAGGGAGCATCAGAGAGTGACGGCAATCTACATGTGCCTCAGAGCTCACGAGCGTGCAGACATGGTGGCCACCACAGGATGTCATCGAGGGGCCAGCCCCTGAGCCCAGAGAGCAAGTAGCCACGCTGGGGTCAGACTCGGCTTCCTGGCTGTGCTTGCTGAGAATACCAGCGCACCCGGAAGCGGCAGCCCCAGTGACACCTTAGCCTCGACAAGACCAC